ATACTTGTTTAAGAAAAATTATAAATCAGAAAGTGATGTAGATACCATTCAAAGCTATAAGGAATCTAGGGATCACTGTAAGAAAACATGATGTACTGTAATAGAGAATTTTTTTTTAATTTTATTAAAAGGACTTCTATAAGTGGAGTGAGGGATTGAGTTTTACAGATTAATCCATAAATTCAGTATAATTTTAATTAAAAGCCCCTATGAAGGCAGACTAAACAACTTTTATTTAGAGGGAAGACCAAAGGACTACATTTTATGCTTTTTGTAACTCTGTTATAGATCCTTCACTCTTACAACCCGGATTATGGGCAAAAGACATAGAATGTTGAATAACTTGACCACAGCTGGGCAAGAGTTTATGTCCCAGGTCGGTAGGAAATTACAATTTGAGCTGTTTTGAACCATTGTCATTTTAGTAAGGGGTCTTCTAAGAATGTATTAAAACTTAGGGTGATGCTGTTGAGGACCTCATAAAGTCCTAAGATCATTTTGTAGTTTGGAAACTACCTTGTGTCACCTATAACTTTTTAAATTAGCATGCTTGGTTTATTAAAATTGAAATTTTCCTGTTAGACAATAATAACAGTTCTACTCATTGACCTTTTAAATGCTTCTATTTTACTGTGTTTAGGAATACAACTATGTACCATATTTTAAGGAATCCTATATTTTTTCAAGCATTTAAATGAGCAAAAATTTGAAGAGCAGTACTGTCAGAATTACAGTAAACAAAGGTCATTGTTGTGTTTGGGAGGTAGTATGCTCTGTGTCCCATTTTCATAAAGTGTTCTGTGACTAAAGAACTTGCCTCAGTCATTCCTGTCACTTAAAATAATAGTAATTTGCTTTTTCAATAATTCCTACAGTCTGAAATAATTTATTTACTCCATGAGAATAAGTTCATGTAGGCATTTAAGTGAGAGGAAAGTACATTTAAGACTAGAAGTTGCTCTTTTGCAGATAAAAAGGTATGGGGAAGGTACTGAAGGAAAGGAGGATAAGGGTCATGTGTTTGAAAATGGGGTCTGGAGACAGGATCCCATGCGGAGGAAATTTGCCTAAATTCTACCTTAAAATATAGAGGGAAGAAGTAGTCCAAAGGAAGAAATATGTATAAGTAAGCTTTGTAATGACACTGGTTAAAGTTACGCTTCGAGGACTGTATTCTTGGAAGTCTGCAAACCATACTCTGATGGAATGAGTATTAACTTTTTCTGTTATAAAAACTTAACTTATTCAGATATTAAAAACTAGGCATGGACTGATAACCAGGATATACAGGGAACTTAAAAAACTAAATTCTCCCAAAACTAATGAACCAATAAGGAAATGGGCAAGTGAACTAAACAGAACTTTCTCAAAAGAAGAAATTCAAATGGCCAGAAAACACATGAAAAAATGCTCACCATCTCTAGCAATAAAGGAAATGCAAATTAAAACCACGCTAAGATTCCACCTCACCCCTGTTAGAATAGCCATCATCAGCAACACCACCAACAACAGGTGTTGGCGAGGATGCAGGAAAAAGGAACCCTCTTACACTGTTGGTGGGAATGTAGACTAGTACAACCACTCTGGAAAAAAATTTGGAGGCTACTTAAAAAGCTAGACATCGATCTACCATTTGATCCAGCAATACCACTCTTGGGGATATACCCAAAAGACTGTAACACAGGTTACTCCAGAGGCACCTGCACACCCATGTTTATTGTGGCACTATTCACAATAGCCAAGTTATGGAAACAGCCAAGATGCCCCCACCACTGACGAATGGATTAAGAAAATGTGGTATCTATACACAATGGAATTTTATGCAGCCATGAAGAAGAATGAAATGTTATCATTCGCAGGTAAATGGATGGAATTGGAGAACATCATTCTGAGTAAGGTTAGCCTGGCCCAAAAGACCAAAAATCGTATGTTCTCCCTCATATGTGGGCATTAGATCAAGGGCAAACACAACAATGGGATTAGACTATGAGCATATGATGAAAGCGAGAGCACACAAGGGAGGGGTGAGGATAGGTAAGACACCTAAAAAATTAGCTAGCATTTGTTGCCCTTAACGCAGAGAAACTAAAGCAGATACTTTAAAGCAACTGAGGCCAATAGGAAAAGGGGACCAGGAACTAGAGAAAAGGTTAGATCAAAAAGAATTAACCTAGAAGGTAACACCCACGCAGAGGAAATCAATGTGAGTCAATGCCCTGTATAGCTATCCTTATCTCAACCAGCAAAACCCCTTGTTCCTTCCTATTATTGCTTATACTCTCTCTACAACAAAATTAGAAATAAGGGCAAAATAGTTTCTGCTGAGTATTGAGGGGGGGGGAGAGGGAGGGGCAGAGTGGGTGGTAAGGGAGGGGGTTGGGGCAGTGGGGAGAAATGAACCAAGCCTTGTATGCACATATGAATAATAAAAGGAAAAAAAAAACACTCATTTCTGCTGCCAGCCACAGTCGAGAGGGGACGTCTTCTTATAATGGAAGACAACCACAGTGGCAGCCCACAACAAATCTGACTGCTGGGTATGTGGTGAACTTCACCATCCAGTCAAGTGAACATGCTCTGAAATGTGATGTCTTTCCCTTCCCCTCAAATTGACGCAATGTTCTGGGGATCTCAGCACCAAGACTGAGCCTTCCTTTGGTAAGATCACATACTCTGGCAAGGCCTCGATAGTAGTAAGAAAACACGTAAAGCTGAGCGTGGACATTTGCACACTTAATGCCCCTTTTGTCTTAAAAGTCACAATAAAATTAGCACCGTATGGAAAAAAAAAAAAAAAACTAGGCATGGTGGAGCCACTACAGGTGGCTCATGCCTCTAACCCAGCACTCAGGAGGCTAACAGGAGAATTGTGTGTTCGAGGGTAGGCTGGGCTTAAGTAGCAAGAATCAGTCTCAAAACAAACAACAACAACAAAAAGAAACAATAGCAAAAATAACAAAATCTCAGATACAAAAAAGTGTTCAGGTTCAGAGCCATACTGCCACCACCACTGCCAAAAAATAAACTTTAAATGAAGGTGGAGAGAAAAGAGTATCTCAATGCCATATATATAGCTTTACCCACCAGAAACTTAAAAACTAATTCAGTTTCTGACTTCTGTCTAAACATTTGTTTCTTGTACTGCTTTGTTTTCGTTGTACTTACCAACTGAAACAGAAATCACTGTCCTTCACCTGTGGTTGTTCCTTCTGTGTTCAGCAACATCTTTTAAGCTTCTCATATAGAAGACATTTTACTAGGATGTGGGTATGGGTAGATTTGCTCCCTGATTGCATGGAGTTGATATTCCAAACCAGAGAGACAGGTAGGAAGGGGAAATATGTAGGCACATACTGAAGGAAAGCCCCTCTGAGAGACTTGACTACCTGAGGGACCTGCTCTGTGAAGATCAGAGCAAAGAACATTTTAGGCATGGAACAGGAGTACAAAGCCTAGGGTGGGAACAGGCTGTGCAGATTTGCCAATAGGAATAGAAAGGCCCTTGTGGAAAAGAACAGAAAGAAGACTAGATGCAATCAGAGGAGGGTGGTGCAGGATGAGCTTAGAGAGGAAGTAAGGGGCCCAGTTCCACAAATACATTTTTTATTTTGATGGAGTGTTGCCCAGATGCATATCTTTGGATGGCTGCCAAAGAGAAGAGCAGGGGTTGTCTGCAACATCCTTCCCCCAAATGTCTCCTTGCAAGTTCAGATGTGTTTGGCAGGCCCAAGTTCGGACCTGCCCTGAGCACTTGCTGAAGTCTTTTTCTGCGTGTTGCTTGCCTGATGTCATAATCACATTCTCAACAGACTCACCAGGTCAGCTTCAGAATTCTTGTTGAAGAAATTGTAACTGCTTTGGAGTTTTTGACTTTTGCACTTTTTCCAGTGTCAAAGTTGTTCTTGTGACTTACTACATCATGTGGTCTTTGTGATCATTTCTTAGGTATTTTGCTAATTTCTTCTCTGTCATGTTAACTGTTCTGCCCCCAACAACAGATAACATGCCTGGCATATAGTTGATCTCCAATAAATATTTGAACGAAAGGTGGGGGGATATGGTCCATCCATGTGTGTCCACTCCAGACTCAGCCAGAAGTCCAGCGTTCTATCTGTATCATGCCACATAGCCAGTTGCTATTCATGTATATGGGTAGAAGTCTGAGTCACGTGCCAGAGGCTCACGCCTGCAAGCCTAGCTTCTTGGGAGGCAGAGGTCAGGAGGATCACAGTTCAAAGCCAGCCCGGACAAATAGTTCACGAGATCTTATCTCAAAAAACCCTTCACAGAAATAGGGCTGGTGGAGTGGCTCAAGGCGAAGGCCCTGAGTTCAAACCCCAGTACTCAAAAAAAGAAAACCAGAATGTTTCCTTTAGCCAGGGCTGTGGCTCACGCCTGTAATCCTAGCTACTTGGGAAGCTGACTGAAATCAGGAGAATTGCAGTTCAAGGCCAGTTCAGACAAATAATTTCCAAGACCCCCATCTCCAAAATAACCAGAGCAAAATGGACTGGTGGAGTGGTTCAAGTGGTAGAATGCCTGCTTTGCAAGCATGAAGCCCTGAGTTCAAACCCCAGTCCCACCAAAAACTATAAAGAACATTTTCTTTTCTGGGCATCTGGCCATGGTGGTGCACATCTGTAATCCCAGCACCTGGGTGGCTGAGGCAGGAGGATTGAGAGTTCCAAGCCAGTCTGGGCTACCTAGCAAAACCATGTCCAAAATAAATGAATAAAATGTTTTCTTTGCTGTGCAGAAATCTTTATAAGAGAGAATTTATAGTCTCCCCTGCTGGATATGAGTGGTAGAACCTGAAAATTTAGGTTATTTGGCATATTTTTTTTCCAGTTTTTCATTGTGTTAAAATACACATAACCTAAAATTTTTCATCTTACCCATTTTTAATTTATAGTTCAGTAGTATTAAATACATTCATAATAAGCGTTATGTAGCTACACAGAGACTCATTTACTTCAACTTACATATTTCCTTCCTCACAGCCTCACTAAGCAGCCTTTTGATCACACCTTTCCCATCTCCAAGTTCCTCTACATCCTCTTCCAGCAGTTATCAGCGCCGCTGGCTTCGAAGTCAGACAACAAGTTTGGAAAATGGCATCATTCCAAGGAGGTAAGCTGCAGGTTTCCTCTTGCTAAGAAAAGTAGCATTGTAGGCAGCTTAATGAACCTGGTAAGGCAACTATCATTGTGTGTGTGTTATCAGTGGAAGAATAGCCAAAACCTTGTGATTAGTTTCAGCTTAGCCTGAAAGCTTGTGAGTCAGAACTTTGAAGGAGGGAATAAATTTAGGCTAAAAAAAGTTCTTATCTAGAAGATACTGGGAAATATCTGGGTAGTCATGCCATGTGTACACTAGATTTGATGTTAATTTGAATTGACTATGCTCTTTTGTTACGCTGCATACCTTTCAGATGTAGCTCTGTAAGTAAAGGAGGCTGGGATAAGTCTTCCTTTTGGCATTTGAAAATGTATGAGACAGACATGTAATATATGGCATGTACTTTGTTCTGCTTGTATTAGGAGCATGTTCTCTTTATAGAACTTAATCCTTTTTTTTGAGGGGGAGGTGGGACTGGGGTTTGCACTCAGGGTTTTGTGTTTGCAAAGCAGGTGCTCTGCTGCTTGAGCCACATCTCCAATCCATCTTGCTCTAACCAAGATGGGTCTCTCAAATTATCTGCCCAGGCTGGCCTTGAACTATGATTCTCCTAATCTCAGCTTCCCAAGTAGCTAGCATTATAGGCATGAGCCATGAGTGCCTGAAATTCTTCAACTATGAGTGTGAATTAAGATAGCATCAAGGTTATTTTCTACCTACATTTCAGTTGGTTTTGAATCTGAAGTTTTGTTGTGTCCAAAATATACATTTGATGTTGCACCAGTAGCTTTCAGACTCTTCCTCTTATAACTCAAACATTTAAAAGAAAATTTTTATATGCAGCTAAAAAAATACACGTCAATTAATCAAGTTAGCAAATTGACTATTAATCACTGAGTATAGGTATCTGTGCAGATTTTTTCCTTTTTGTAACTGAGGTTTGAACTCAAGACTTCCTGCTTGCTAGGCAAGTGCTTTACCTCTTGAGCCACACCTCCAGCCCTTTCTGCTCTAGTTGTTTTTGAGATAGGGTCTCGCTTTTTGCCCAGGCAGACCTGAACTGTGGTCCTATTGAAGCTGCCCTCTGGCACTGAGGTGACAGGCACGTGCCACCATGCTCAGGTCTTTATTATTATTATTATTATCCTTTTTCATTCAGATGGTATCTTGCAAATTTTTTTGCCCAGGCTGACCCGTCCTCCTGATCTTAACTTCCCAAGTAGCTAGACTTACAGGTGTTGAGCCACCAGCACCAGCTTTTTTTAATTTTTAATTTTTTTTTTGAAATGGAGTTTTGCTACATTGCCACCATGCCCAGTTGAAACTTAGCTCTTTGTGCTAGAAATAGAAGGACAGTGGCCATCAAAAATTGTTGCTTCTGGCTTTGAGAGGAAATTTAAGAATTCAGGGTGGTTGTCACGGAATAGTATATCAAGTCTAGAGATGTTCTTGGACCAACAATTTTATGTGGTTCAACATAATACATAGGTTCAGCCTAAGGTCAGAGCTAGTACAAACAACAGGTAGACTAAGCAGCCCTGATATCAGCTGTAGATTGTTGAGATATGTTGAAATAATCTTAGTTTTAGCTTTCGTTGTGATCTTAAAGTGCTTATAATGTACATAAGTGAGTATTGATAAGTGTCACTGAAATTCTGTTTGATTTCTTTATAAGGAAAAATCCTAAGTCTGTAGCCATTGTCTTTCCTTGACTTGAAGCCCGTCAACTAATCTGATTGCTTCCAGCTCCTTCCCACCTCATGCTCCAGGTATCATGATCCATTAGATGGCATGAGCACCAGCACACAGATCAGGCACAGGCCAGAGTCAGGTCATTGCCAGTGGCCCAGGGGTGAGCCCAGACTAGAAGACAGAGGCCCTGGGTTCTAACTCCAGCATTGTCACTAAGAAGCTTTCTGCTCCCAGGCAATTGAGTAAGCCTCAGTTTCTGTATTCGCAAAACAGCCTGTCTTCCTTGCCTGGTCCTTGCAGGTAAAGATAGAAGAAGTATTCGGGTGTATACCCGAGTTTTCAGAAACATTTTGTAACATCTTTTATTGTAGAATAAGACTTAAAATATGTTTATGGTGCCTCATGACCTGAATTGTTCTAGTTTGCATAGCTGATCAAAGACTCCAGTTGCTTTAGAGTTCAGTGGAGTGATACAGTGGAGCAAGCCAGAGCCAGCTACTCTGTTACAGAAATTCAGCAGGTGGCACTCTCTGCTGTGTTAAAACTGATGTCAGAATTGATTACTGTTTATAGGGTAGAGGTGGAGAGGATGAATAAAGCTGTAGAGTCCAATGTTTATTACAGTTTGACGATCAAAGACCACATTGGCCTAAAGATGTATGGACTGATAGTCATTTTACTTTTGAAAAAGAAGAGAAATAGAAGATGCCAGACAAAGGGGAGGGGACTGCAAACAAGATTTAAAATACAAGCTCAGTGTAAGCTGTTACAGTTTTTGTTTGTTTGCTTTGAGACAAAGTATAGCTGGCCAGCCCAGGCTTTCCTTGAATTCATGGTCTTTCTGCCTCAGCCTCCTGAGTGCTGGAATTACAGGTATGCACCATCACGGCCAGCTAGAATTTTTTTATGCAGAGCAGAAATTAACTAGTGCAGGAAAAGAAGATTTTAATACAGGTATTTTAGAAAAGAGAATAGGTCATTGTTTTTATATCAGCTCACTTTCCTGTATGAAATTACATAACATTCTGAGAGATTCCCCAAGAGTTTTTTCTAAGGATTAGGACCTGGGTATTTCTGAGAAAACAGTTGGTGGTTTGTTAGAAATCATTGCATTTACATTACACAGGACCTGGAGGTAGTGTCCTGCCTTGGCATGTCTGCAACAGAGCCTGCTACTTACTAGCCTTAAGCATCTCTGAGGTCTTGCAGGAAGTTGGGGGAAGTTGTTCTTAAAAAGAAATCTGTCTCCTTTCCTTTAAAAATAGTTTCCCTTAGGGGCTGACAGAGTGGCTCAAGTGGTAGAGCACCTACCTAGCAAGTGAAAGGTCCTGAGTTCAAACCTCAGTACTGCCATACGTACATAAATAAGAAATCTGGATATATTTGAAATCACAGGCACATTAAGTGACTGTGAGTAGACCTCTAAATAGGAAGTCTAAGGCTAAAGGTAGAAGGATAACAGCCTCAAATTCTGCCCAGCATCAGTAACTGTCCTGAATAATTAGTGGAAAAGAAAGCAGGGGAAGTTGTACCCAGCATGTGGCAGATAGGTGAGGCCAAGTGTTAGCATCAGCGAGAAGGAAATGTATTGCATACCTACTGTGCACTGGAATATGTGCTTTCATTTGAGTGTATGTGCCCTTTGCTTTACCATCTTTGTACAACAAGACAAATTCTTCACTCTCGCTATGTGGTACTATGCTAACTTTTCTCTACTTAAATAAAAGTCATTGTTAGGCTATAATTGTGAAGATTTATCCCTTAAGACAAGTCGAATATATAACCACAATTTTTTGGCTTCCTGGCTCTCTCAACATAGAAGCATAGTCTCTCAAAAGTTCTAGCTAGTGGAAGGCCAATTTCAAATCCCAGTATCTCTCTCTCTCTCTCTCTCTCTCCCTCTCTCTCTGTCTAACACACACACACACACACACACACACACACTCTCTCTCTCTCTCTCTCTCTCTCTCTCTATAAGTTCTTTGAGAATTTGAGTATAGCAGAAGAGACTAGTGAATCTTTTCTGCTTGGAGGATTTCCCAGAGAGCTCATCCAATCACATGTTTCACCTGAGCATTTAGAGTAGTAGCTTCACCTGGTGGTTTTAATAGTAATAGCCGTGGGAAATCTAGTCTGGAAATGTCAGTAAATGTTCAAATATGACACCTGTTTTAAACAGAAAACTGGCTAGGATCTTTCGTCTTCTGTTCTTATTTGTTGGTATCTGTCAGCCAAAACAAAGGACCTATGTTTTGAATGAACATGTCTCTCACATCCCCTATAAATACTGTCATTGTGGCATAAAATAATCCTGGGGAAAGGAGAATTTAACAAGGAGACACTTAAATTATTTTTGGTTTTCATTTCAGCTTCTTTCTTTTACGATTTTTTAAAATTTTATTTTTGGATTACTGTACACTAATAATATGAGGGGATTTCAATGTGGTAATTCCATGTATGCTCACAATTTACTTGAATAAATTCACCCCCCATTATATTTCCGTTCCTCCTTTCCCTCACCCCTTTCTCAAACAGTGTTTGGTGGGTTCATTATGCTTTCTTCACATCATTTCAGTTTCTTTTCATCTTAAGACAGTAATATGTGGCAAGCAGATGTTTGCCTTTTTCATCACAGAAGAGAGTGAATTAGAGGTGGATGAACACTTTGCTAAGGCTCTAAGCCTTCTGGATTAGCTTTCTGTGTGTCATTCCATGGCATGACATTTATTTACCTTCAGTGTGGCTCATTGATGCATGGCAACTTTTCAAACTATATTTCCTCTAGGTCAACCGATGAGACATTCAGCTTGGCTGAAGAAACCTGTAGTTCTAATCCAGCCATGGTTAGGAGGAAGAAAATTGCTATCAGCATCATCTTTTCCCTGTGTGAGAAAGAAGAGGCACAACGGGACTTCCAGGACTTCTTTTTTTCTCATTTCCCCCTGTTTGAATCTCACATGAACAGGCTGAAGAGTGCAATTGAAAAGGTAATAGAGACTGCAGTCCAGTGTCAAATAGAGAGGTGACTGTGAGATTTAACTTTCCAAGGAAGTTAAATTACCCCCAGCAAGGATACATCCTTAGGAGCACTCATGTTGTATATAGATACCGATTGCTTTAGGGAAGGAAGTTACTGCTTTCTGATGATTGAAGGCATTATTACCTTGAGTGCTTTTAATTGATCATAATATCAATTTTTATTGTAGTCACGTTGGTAAGTTCTAAAGGAATTTCTTCTCAGAGAGTAATTTGGCCCATTTTCTCTTCCTTGAAGGCCATGATCTCCTGTAGGAAGATAGCAGAATCAAGTCTCCGCGTCCAGTTTTATGTCAGCCGTCTGATGGAAGCGCTGGGAGAATTCAGGTAAAGTACAAGGTTTGGAAAATCCAACAGGAAATTCATGAGCAGCACAACCAGTGGCATCCGTAGATCCTACAGTTACAGAGAAACTGAGGCTTGGAAGAATTAGGGGGCTGGTAGTTACTGGTCATTTTAGTGGTTCCATCCTTCAAGATGAAAACAGACCAAATGGAGCAAAAAATTTAAATAATCCAATACTAACTAATCCTTACCAATGCTAGACAGATAGTCGTTGATACTGTTTTTAACAGGATGAACGGAAAAAACTAATATTCAGGGATGTCTCTTAAGTCCATTTATTTCATGTCATCCCACAAAAGCTCTAAGCACTATTACCCTCATTTTACAGATATGGAAACTTGGGTTCATAGGTGCACATGAGAGTATGTATGTCAGGGAGACCTTTGTTCTAGTCCATACCTAGTGTCCTCTTGTGAGTCTGGTCCGGACATGAAACCATCTGGTCACCATCCTGTGTCTTCACAGGCAGTTTCTAACTGATAATGTTTGGGAAAACTGGTTTTCTAGAGTCCTTGTTCCATGTGTCTGGGTAGGTGGGTTCTCTCCCACCACGCTGAGCTGGGAGCACTGCACCATTTCTCAGAGCCAGCCTCCCAGTAGGGAATGGAATCTCACTCCAAAGCAATCATGAGTTAATCAGTCAAAACTGTTACTCCACAGCTGAGGGATAAAAGGATTTTATAATTCACAGAATATTAGAGCATTTTCATGATGCTTGGGATATGCTGGTGATTCCATGATACTACTTGAAGCAAAATCACCACCCTTTTTAGACTCTGAGCCATATGTAAATACTCAAGTAGCATCTGATGATTGTTAAGACTTCAGTTACGTATTTGAGAGATACTGTGAAGTTGTGTTCTTTGATGGCGATCTGAGGATTAGTAAACTGTCTATACTTTGTATGTGCAGCACTGGATTTGTCTATTATTCTGCTGTGGTCACATTCAAGAGCTGGCTTGTGCTTGAAAGACTGGTGCTAATTTAATTTCCGGGGGTCAAGAAACTAAAAGTAAAGAACCAGAAGTATATACATAAATGAGTGCTTTTCTTTTTTGTTTGTTTGTTTTGTTCAGTACTAGGGTTTGAACTCAGGACCTTGCACTTGCTAGGCAGATACTCTACCACTTGAGCCACACCCCCAGCTCCATGATTCTTACTTCAGTAATCACCCCCTCCAGAAATGGTGACAAATACACTGATAAGATTTAGAGAGCTTAGTTTTAGTGAGTAAATCCAGTGCCATATAATTGTAACTTTGGCCTTGCTACCTAACTTAGCAAATGCTATTCTTTTGCCAAGGTGGACTGCTGTTCTTTCCTGATTCTTGCACACACACACTTAGAGAATCAAGTCAGAATATGTCTCATCTTTCTTGATTTGGGAAGAGTAGATGTGTTAAAAATTCAGAGTTATATTGCTACATTGACTGTTTACACAGTGGAGATCCAAAGTCAAAAGATCACTTGTGAATCATGTAGCTTGGAGTAGAGAGCCCTTTGTGCCAGTTGTTGAAACCTGAATTCTCATCCTCACCTTGCCATTAAATATTTGCATGTCTTATTCAAAGAACCCAATCTTTCTAGGCCTTTATATAGAAAGTTAGTGTATATTACAGTAAAGAAGAGCGACTGGGTAGTTTTTTTAGAAGAAAACTAAAAATAGAGTGCTTTTAGAGACCAGAGCACTAGGATTGAGAGTTGACTTGCCTCTGGTCACGTTTTCAATACAGCATGTACTTACTTTCTCTCTCTTTCCCTACTCTCCCCACCTCCCTCCCTTCCCGTCTCTCAACAGGGTTTCACTATAGTCCAGGCTAGTTTGGAACTTGCAATCCTGCTTCAGCTTCCTAAGTGCTAGGATTACAGGTGTTTTACTTACTACAAAAATGGTTGTGTGGTATACCACAAATGTGTACAATTTTGAAGTTTTTACATTTTAAAAAAACTTTTTAAAAAGTTTTATAGGTTAAAAAACAGAAGTCTGACGCACAAGGCATTGTGAAATAATTTTTAAGAGTAGCATATTTTTTTCTGTAATGGGTGTCTGTCACAGCACTGAACTTAGCCATTGTCCTGCAAAAGCAGCCATAAATAATATGTAAATGAATAAGCATGCTGTGTCCCAGTCAGATTTTATTTATACAAAAAAGATAGTAATCAGACTTGGCCTCTGGGTCATAGTTTGCCAACCTGTGACCTCTTGAATCCAAATTACGTTTTTTTTTTCTTTATTCTTATACCAAACTTATCCAAAATGATGTTTGTGACAGTTTTATTATCCCTTCTCTCACCCGTAGAGGGACTATCTGGAGCTTATATTCTGTTCCAAGGATAGCTGAACCAGTGTGGCTTACCATGATGTCAAGCACCTTGGAAAAAACCCAGCTCTGCCAACGCTTTCTCAAGGAATTTACGCTTCTGATAGAACAAATCAACAAAAACCAGTAAGCTTCAACTCCCTGGAGACTTGTATGCCGAGTCCACAGTAACTGTATGTGCTGCGTAGGACGAGGCTCATCCTGTTGAGTAATTGTGGTGTTTTCTTTCCTTTCTCCAAGGTTTTTTGCTGCCTTGCTGACTGCTGTGTTAACCTACCACCTGGCCTGGGTCCCGACTGTCATGCCTGTTGACCACCCTCCCCTTAAAGCCTTCTCAGAAAAGCGCACCTCGCAGTCAGTGAACATGCTGGCCAAGACACATCCATATAACCCTCTCTGGGCACAGCTGGGTTAGTACCTAAACTGACTATTCAGAGATCGCACTGGACAAAATTCTTTTAAATGCTAGGATTTGTAGATTACACTGGCTGTCCATTCAGGGATTGTGACTTGGGGGGCAGGGAATAGGAGACTAGCCCACAGATTCTTGTTGTCAGAGTACCACCCTCCTCTCTTCTCCCTTACTGGTTTTTGGTCTGCTTTTTTAAAGCAGTATAGGGAAACTGTGTTCTCTATTTCATAGTGGGTGTTCACCCTGGTTCAGGATGCCTTAATTCCAGTACTATGACACTTTGGGCCAGAGAATTCTTAGTAAGCTGGTGGGGAAGGAGAAAGGACTGTCTTATGCATTGTAGGATGTTTAGCAGCTTCTCCAACCTCCATCATTAGATGCAGTAAAACCCCTTCTGCCCAAAGTTGTAGCAATCAAAAATGTCTCCAGACAATGTCAAATGTTCCCCATGGAAAGGGGCAGCAAAACAATTCCTGATGAGAACCAAAGCCCTAGAGGATGTCTTGGATGAGGAAAAAGAAGACAGAAGAGAAAGTGACACACCACAGTCTCACCATCTTTCTAACTTTACCATAAGTCAGGAGTCTTGTCTGTCACTGCATCCTTGTGTCTTGTCTGTCACTGCATCCTTGTGATTAGTGTTGGCAATTACTTCCTCAAACCTTTGATGGTCTTGGTGGTAAAGTTTAGGCCTGGTGAGACTGGGTGCATTATCTGGGTTCACATGGAAGAGAGGTGTGCTCTACAGCCTCTCACTCAGCAAACATTACAGTGGCAAAGTAAGACTCACACCTCACTGTGTTCCACCCCTGTGCTACATGCTGGGAGGTGGAGTTGTGTAGCATAAGCTGTTCAGCCTTAGGAAGCCAGTTGCCTCATGGACAAAGCAAATGCATGTTTATGTGATTTCAAAACCTCTTGATCACTGCTTTAACAGGATAAGGGTGTGTGTGGGCATTCGGGAGAGGATAGCATAGGGGTGAAGAACCTGGGGACCAGGGGCTTCCTGCTGGGTTCCAGTGGGCAAGTCACTAGCCTTCCCTCTTCCCTCCCCACCCCTCCGCTTCCCTTCCTTTCCTTTCTTTCCTTTCTTTGTGCTAGGGATGGAACCCAGACCCTTGCACATGCTAGACAGGTGCTCTACACTGAGTTACATCCCCGCCCTATGCCAAATGGGGATTTTAACAGGACTTACTTCATGGCGGTTATTAAATCAAAGCAGTTGTGTGGGCACCTTTGCTATGATTACTGCTGCCAAAACATATTGTAAGGGCACCTAGAGAGAGAGTGAGGGAAGGATGGTAGTTTCTAGGAAGGCTTACTTGAAGTAATGTTCAAATGGCATTTTCTAGGAAAAGAAGTACAGACTGGGGAAGAACACTCCAATCTTAGCAGCATATTTTGATAACTGTTATAAGTGCTTTTTATACATACTAATTAACGAGATTCTCACTCTTACCCTATTACTGTTGTCTTTATTTTATAGCATTAAAGGTACCTTCTAATCCTTGTGCCCTTGGTCATGAGACATGAAAGAATGAAAATACAAGTCTCATGGTTAAGGGGATAACAAGTGTGTTTTAAATGAATCAACTAAATAATTTATGGATATTAAAACCATTTGAATACAACACATTGTGTTTTAATACTTGATACAATAAGCACAGAACTCAGAAAGAACTTGGAATATGCCTGCCTTACTCCAGGACATAGGGCTGTTCTTGGAGAGGACATGACACTGTTGCTTTAGAACAAATAATCTTTTTAAAATGTAGCATTAAGTGCTGAGGGATATAAAGGAAATACAGTGTTTTATACTGGTAGATCACCAATTTAAAAACAATGCTAATTAAGCAGTATGCATTTAATCATATAAATGTTTTCATAATGAGACATGCTTCTCTTTTGAAATTTAGCTAATTGGGAGCCATTAATTCCCTGTGTTTAGTGTAACAAAGCAAAATCTCTTCCTGTGAGGTTCACATTCATCATTTTTCACTGGAGAGCATGTATCATTGAAGGTCTTCCTCCAATCCAGCAGGGTCTGTCTGTTGATTAGAGTATTGTGAGGAGGCAATGAGGCCTAGTGCAGAGAAGACTTTGTAAAGCCACATGTAAATGATGGTTGATTTTCCCTTATTACAGAGGATGCAATTCACTGCTTTTTTTTTTCTACCCACTAAGGCATTTAACAAGTTCCAGTAAACAGGAAAATAAAAACTGTTGGGAATAAACACTGATGCAGACCTAACTTTAACCCAGTCCTAAGTAATAGAAAAGATTCTATCTTGAATTATTTCAGACATTTATCAGTTCTCACCAGGACAGTTAGCGCCATGGTGCCCATCTCTGCAAGGCTTCTCAGCCCTCTGAGGAGAACAGGAGAGAAGCTGGAAGCCACACTGCCTTCATGCTCTCAGGGACTTGCTGTTCACTTGCTTAGCGTTGGTGCCTCTGCCTCACACAGGGCTTCCACAGTGTGGATCACCACCAATGAGTGGGCTGTGGAAGCAGTTAGTGGGTTGGAAAAGAGTTTTAAAGGCATAATAAAATAGAAAATATCAGAATGACTTACATGTATGTTTGTAAACTGAATTTCAGCAGGTGTGCAAGGTTGCAGTATAAATTGTTCTTGGTGGGTCTGAGAACACAAAGTTTGAAAGCTACTGTGTGATGCCAGTGATTGAACACTGAGTGAAGAAGTTTCCTGTTGGTCTCCTTTTGGTGGAATGCATATTAAGTGTTTTTAGAAATGAAAAGATGTGGTTTTTCATTTTTGTTTTTGTTTTTCCAAAAAAGAGATTTGGGATTACTGATTTAAAGTAATACAAGTAAAAAGTCTGAAATTTCTTTATAATTTTTCTAAAAGTTAAAGTTGCATTTTTTCAGAATGCAATGAAATTAGACTATAAATAAGTTAAAAGAAAAAATAAAAAAGCCAGGTACCAGTGGCTCACACCTGTAATCCTAGCTACTTCAGAGAATGACATTGGAGGATCCAAGTTCAGGGCCAGCCTGGGCAAACAGTTCTCAAAACCCTATCTCCAAAATACCCAGAGCAAAACGGACTGGAGGCATGGCTCATGGAGCACCTGTTTCCACCGTGGTGCAAATGTGCAGGGTGCAGGGAAGCCTCTCAAGGGTCTCCAGAGCACAGATACCGTAGGAAAGAGGTAATGAATACAACACTGTCCTCCTTAGGTCACCTTATTTTCTCCCAGTTTCTGGTTTTGCTTCTCTGTTTATTTTTCCTCACTCCTCTGTCCACTCACCTCCTTCTCACAGCCCTCCTCCCCCCTCTTCCATTTCCCTTTTTTAACTGCTCTTTCTTTATAGGACTATTGAATTCTCTCTACTTCTCCACCTTTCTTTTTCTCCCCTCTCTTCCTAGTTCTGTCTCTATCTGCTCTTTTTTCCTCTCCTTCTTTCTCCCCAATGTGCTTTCTTTCCCTATGTTTGTCTTACCCTCTTTGAATTTTTCTCTGCTCAGTCTCCCTATCGTTTTGCATCTCTATTGCCTTTCCTCTTTGTACTCTTCTCTTTGTTCTTCACCGCTTTCTTCCTTAGTTTCCTCTCAGCTCTGCTATTTACTCTATATTTCCCTCCTTCCACTCTCTACCTACCCTCTGCCCCTCATTTGCCTCCTATACTTTTTGGGTTTTTTGATGATACTGGGTTTGAACTTGGGACCTTGAGCTTGCTAAGCAGGCCACTTGAGCCACATCCCCAGCCCTTTATGCCTCAGTTATTTTTCTGATAAAGTCTTTTGTTTTCTTCCCTGAGCTGGCCTCAGATCATGATTCTCCTGTTCTCCACCTCCCAAATAGCTGGGGCACACTCAGACCTGCCTCTTAGGCTTTCTTCATCTTTCCTTCTGACCTCTCCTCCCAGCTGTCCAGCATCCATCTGCCTCCACCTCCATGTGCTCTGCCATTGGCCTCTGTTTCACCCACCAACATTTTTTTTACCCCTTCCTTTTTTTCCTATTTTGCCCCATTTATAGCTCTCTTTAAATTTTTTAATTAATATAAAAAATCATAACAAAGTTTATCATCTGAACCATCTCTAAGTGTATCATTTACTAGTGTTAGGTATATTAACATTGTGCAGCCGCCTCTTCATTTTTAAAAAATCATACTCATGAAGACAAAGGAATCTAAAATTAGCATCTTCATTTGTCCAGGACTCAAATGAATTGCCTTCAAGTTCAGGATCCAGTAATCTTTACTATTATGGGTATATATTATTTTACTGATACATTATTTTATGAACTTTGTTTCTACATAACAACACTGTTTCTATACACATCTCTCTCATGAGTTTATATAGTTTATCATAAATTTCAGTAACTTTTTTATTTTTTTCTGTTATTCCTTAGTTATTAGAATGTATAGTACTAAAAGTTAAATGCATAGTTAAAAAATAATGTCATTCTTAACAGCCTTTCCTTGTGGTTTGTTATACCAGATTTTGGATATTTAATGCTATTTCTTTATTAACATTGAGGTTGACTTAACGGAAATGTGTGATGGATTTCTGAAATGACTGTGATATCTTGAAATAATAAGGAGATAGATCAAAGAAAAGTAACAAAATCAAGAGTTTTCTCAAAACATAGTAATTTGGAATTACTCTTTTTGAATTCTAGAATGATTTCTCCATTGCAAAAATCTCTTATTAGCGTACAATGTGGTCTTTTTATAGAGAAGATTATTTGTTATTATTTCTGTCCTGTCCTTTAAATGTTCTTAGAAGCCATACACTGGGGAAAACTCTCCAAAGGACAAACTTCCTCATGGTTCCCTAGGGAGAAATCCTTGGTTCTCATAACTTTTTCTCAGCCTTAACCTATTAATTTTAGTTAGTTTTCTCTAGTACTCACTCATACCAATGCCTTTCTGTGTCTTTCTGGATGCATTTATCAGATGGATTCTAACTTCCTAAATTCTTATTTGTAACTGTTATCATTTATCACCTCTCGTTTCTTTACTATCTTTCCAGGTTTTGATTTCTTTCAACATTTGGTTATTTCTTTAGTGATTTCTGACTCCAGATTGGTTGCACAAAGACACAATCTTTGATCTCATAGCACAGGGCCTACCCAGTCAGTAAATGTCAGCTCTTTATTGTAACTGTCCATGTTATCATCAGAGAATCAAGTGTATATGTTATTATCAGATTTAATAGTCACACTATCAAATGGGTAGTTTTCATGGTTTAGGCCATATGTACTTTTGGTGAAGAGCTTATACTGCTTCATGGTTCGATGTCTCCTTTCTCCTTCTTGCAACCCTTCTTACTAAATGTGGAGCTCGTGGTTCATTAGCCCAGTTTTAGCTGACTTGTCGGGATATAACTAAGTGGACATATATTTTCCCAGTAGAATTTTCATATGATGTGAAATAAAGACCATTACCACATTCATTATTCATGACTAGATGATTTTGGTTCTGTAAATCAAACTGATTCTACTTGGAGTATTCTGTGTATTAGCAGAATTGTAAGCAGAATACTTCATAAGTGTTTTGAATTGGTTCCCTGCACATCAGTTTGGAAAATCTTGATTTGATTTTATCCCAAGGCCCATTATCCTTGGATTCTTCTAAGAAATTTTTCTTCTAGTTTTTTTTTTCTTCTAGTTTCCAAGAATGCAGTATTTGATCTGGTCACATATACAGAGCCCTGGCTTCTCCCTTCCTTGGCCAGCTCACTGGCTAGTTGACCTCACAGGCACAGTAAGGAAGTGGTATACCTAGCAGCATCCCATGCTCCATGGGTGGCACTGCTTCCTGGCCAGGCTTTTCCAAGTCAACTCTCTAGTATAGAGGAAAGCTGGAACATGGTCATTCCTAGAAATTTGAAATCAGGTGACTGAGAAAGTGATCTGAGACCAAGAATCCAAATTGTCCGTTTGTTTTTGTAAAGGCTGATGTATCCATGCGTTCTAATCCCAGAGGACTTTGTCTTGATGTCCACCTTTGCCCTCTAGGTGACCTTTATGGAGCCATAGGCTCTCCAGTAAGACTGACTCGCACCGTGGTGATCGGGAAGCAGAAGGATTTGGTCCAGCGCATTCTTTATGTCCTGACCTACTTTCTCCGTTGCTCTGAGCTGCAAGAGAACCAGCTGACCTGGAGTGGCAACCACAGTGAAGGTGACCAAGTTATAAATGGAGCAAGATCGTGACAGCCTTGGAGAAAGGAGAGGTGGAGGAGTCCGAGTATGTGGTAGTTACAGTAAGAAATGAGCCTGCTCTCGTACCACCCGTCCTACCACCAGCAATGGCTGAGAGGAGCCCCGGACTCACAGGGTTAGCTGGGACCCCAGAGGACACCGACCCTAGAGACCTGGGTCCCAGTCCTGACAGAGAAGGAAGCAAGAGGCCAGAGCAGAGTTTTGAGGCTCATAGTATGGGATTCCAAGAGCCAGCACTAGACAGATTTTGGAAACCTCAAAGCACATTTTGCAGGGATGAAGAGAATGAACAAGAGGCACCACCAGATGGCTCTTCAAGATTTCCCAGCTGTGAGCTTCCTGGGGCAGGAATGAAGCTCCATCAAGAAACTGTCCATGAGGAGTTGAAAGGGGAGATGCTGAAGAAATTACCAGACCGGTCAGCGGCCTGGCCCTGCCCTAACAGACCTTCCCGGGAGGAGCCAGCTGTGGAAAGGGTCACTTTTCAAATTGGAAGCTCTGTGTCTCCAGAGTCTGACTTTGAAAGCCGCACCAAAAAAATGGAGGAACGGCTAAAGGCCTGTGGACAATACCCAGAGGGAACCAGTGCCTTGGCTGAGTCTAGCATGGCCACAAGTGTGGCTCTAGACCAACAAGGCGCTAGGTGCTCCTTCAAAGCTGACTTTCAAAAGAATGTTGGCCTTCCTGAGTGCCACCGGTCTTCTGAGGGGGAGGAAGGCGAATCTGACCGAGGTTTTGCTGAGGACAGAGGCATCAGAGCCAGCACCATGGCAGATGCTGCAGGGCAGCTCAGCCAAGCTCTTGACCCCCTTGTACTTTCTGATGGTGTACAGGGAACTGGCAGGAGACTGCTAGAGCAAACTAGAGGTTTGTACTTGAAAAGCAAGGAAGGACCTTCAACAAAGCCCATTCCAAACAGGTGTGGACAGCAGGACTCTAGCCTCCTGGCTGCTGCAGATGTCCCCTGTGGGGATGTAGACAAGAAGGCTGACTTTAGGATGGAAGGAGACATTCCCAGAAATGAAAGCTCGGATAGTGCTCTTGGAGACAGTGATGACGAAGCATGTGCTTCAGCCATGCTAGACCTAGGTCACAGCAGTGACAGGACTGAAGGGTCCTTGGAAGTGGAGTTGCCTCTGCCAAGGTAACGCTGCAGCCTGGGAAGCAGAAGGAGCTGGGACCCGGCACGCTTTTCCTCACCTGACACTCATACCATCTTAGCTCCCGTTGGCCCTTTTACACATAGTATTTTTTTTCTCTCAAAGTATTAGAAGTGTTACAGGGATTTCCAGCCTGCCCTTTCTCCAGGGATGCTCACCAGCCTACTGAGGCCAGGCTCCCTGAGAAGAGTAGTTGTCTCTGCAGCCGTTGGGGCATTCGAGAGTAGTTAAGGATATGGTGGGGTGGTAGTAGGGAGTAGGGTACTCAGTTTTCTCTCATCCATGGGGAAGGTATGACTGGCAGCAGTTGCCTTGCTTCTGAGGTGGTGGATTATACTGGCTGTGGGGCTTCTCTCCTGCTGCTCAAAGCAGCATGAGGTGTTTGGGAAACAAGAACTCTTTCTTAACACTCCATCAGGCTGATTATTTGGTCTGTGGTGACAGAAAGCTATAATTAGAGATTTCTTCTGTTCTACACTGCAGTGGCACTATCCCTGTGCAGATGTGTTGAATTCCCAAAGCCAGACCTTTAGCAAGACACCTCTACCCCTGCAACCTTTTCCTTCTCTCAACACAGGATGCCTGGCAGATGTTCAAGTGAATGAACTCTTAACCAGCCATGAAAATAATGTGTTTTCCAGGCTTCCATTAAAAACAAAACAAACAACAAAAACCCAGCTCCCTTTTCTCTCCCAATCTTATTTTCCCACACCAGTGATCCACTTACTGGAGGATTGGTGAGATGGACCACCATAAATCTATTTTCTTTACTTGTGTCATTGGAGTTCTGGTTCTCAGTGTAATGCAAGAGGGAAGTATATTTTTAGCTATATTTAATAGTTCAAATGTTGTTTTAGGTCTCAGAGCATCAGCAACCCAAATGTAAGAAACTTTGGCCGCTCGCTTCTGGCAGGTTACTGCCCCACATACATGCCTGATCTGGTGCTTCATGGGACCAGCAGCGATGAGAGGCTGAAGCAGTGCCTGATGGCTGATCTAGTCCACACAGTGCATGTAAGTGACCCCAGCTTGGAGCCATTAGTTGTTGAAAGTGTGTCAGTCAATGCCATGGCCAGCAACAGGTGTTTAATGTACTTAAGGAATTGTTTATAAAGATGTGGACAGGGGTACAGGAACCAATAAGGGATCATAAGGCACTGCAGCATACCTGGTCAGACAAGAGGAAAGGGCGGGAACATGGCAGAGCTTGGAGAGCTGGAGTCAGGGAGAGGTGCTGCTTGGCTAGAGAAGAGTGGGGACAGCGTGGGGCAATCTGACTGCCCTCTCCTTCCCCACCCTCTCGCCCTCCCCCCCATCTTCTGATATCTTCTGGCAGCTCTCATTGGCTAGGCCTAGTGGGAAGCCAGAGAGCAAGGTCACAGCTGATGCCAGTATGTCCTATTTTCCATAGAGGTCAGCCTCCTGGGTCCCAGAACAGGGCAGAGAAGGGCAAAGCATTGATCTAGGGGTGAATGGGGGCTGGCAGGCCAGGCAAACAGAATAAATAGCACAGATGATGACAATTATATGCCATCTCAGGGAGGACAGAGAGCTGTCACATATGGTTTGCTTTTTATCCAGGCCTTACAAGTTCCTAAAAGTAATTTATCTTAACTGATTTGTCATTAAGTTCACTTTGATGGCTGTGAGAGGATGACTATATAAAGTTTAACAAGTCTTACTGGAAGGTTGCCTTGTGGCTGCCATTAAGTGTTCTTCTAATATCTACAGCATGACAGGAACTGAGCAGTTATGGAAACTGTCAATCTGATAGGCCTGTTTTTAATTGAGCTGTTTTTGGGCAGATGTGCAAAAATAGACATTTTGCATTAAGAACATATTGTGTCTTGTGCAATAGGGAAAGTCCTCATTGCATTAAGAAAATTAGAATTTGGCTTGTTATCTAACAAGTTTTGGTGTTGGGGTTTTTGTTTTGTTTTGTTTTTTGCAAGGTAGAACAGACGGCATTGTGTGTTATCTTTGGCCTTGAGGATCCGCTGTGAAGCCTAAACACACAGCAGAGGCAGGCTAAACAGGCTATTTGTGTGAAGTGGGAAGGAGAGCTCAGCAGGGAAGCAGATGTCCTTCCATGGGGAGGTAAAGAGATGAAGAGAGGTGGTTGGGTGCAGAGAAAGGCCCACCCAGTGTACATGTGCTCCCCTAGATGTGCTAGCCCCACACCCCTTTCTGGTTGGATACCACACCCCTCACCAGCATATTCCTGGAACGAAGTTATTAAGTTGCTTTTGTCTCTGTAAATACTGTCAGTTCATTTGCATGGTTACCATGCATACTGCCCTGATTGCATGATGTTTTCTTTCTGAGCTGTTTAAGCCATGTATGATGCCAGGCAGTTGTACAGACTGTATCAGTGTGTTTAGAAGCCATTTGAAGCATTAGGCAAGTAATTAGAGGACCCCAATTCCTTTTCTGTCAGTTCCTTATGTTTGTACCCATGTATGCAAAGCCTGTGGGTGTTTCCCTCCTACTCTGCTGTCACTTTGATTCCTAAGAACATTGGTGTTGCTCACTGGACTTTTCTGTTCTGCCAAGCCCCATGTTCTGCTGTTCAGAAAAGGACCAGGAGACTGCATAGGAGTAAATAGGGTCATCTTTAGTGGCATTGATATTTCCATCTGGGGGTTTTCCTTGAAGGCCCAAGATTCACTTACTAAACTACTGCAGAAATGTAATTTCTCTGTTGAACTCCTCGAACTTACCTGTAAAACCATTCTTGAAAATTTTTATATTTTCCCAAAGGCTGACAAGCTCTACTTTTTTGAATATTAGATTTTGTTATCACCCAGCTCTGTAATTCTTAGATTTGAAAAAAAAAATAACCATGTTTACACTATCATTCTTTTTTTTAAATTTTTATCATTAATAGTACAAGAGAATTGAACTGTGAAGATTTCCTGGATGCATGCAGTGTGCTTTGAACAAGTTCACCCTCCATTATATTCCCTTAGCTTTCCTCCTTTCTCCTCTGTCATTCCCTTAAAGTTTTTCCATATTTCATTTTCTTCCCTTCCTTTTAGAAGTAGTGTTTTCACACTCTAGCATTTTTCATTTCTTTGGACTATGCAGTCACCCCAAGAGATGGAAAGTTATTAAGCATAATAGCCTATATTGTGTCACATTGTGGGTGCATCTAAAGTGCAGTCATGCATGGGTGGTAATGGAAATTGTGAAGGGCTCATAAAAATATCTCCAGAAGCTTAACACACTCAGAACACAGCCAGTTAGCATTCGTGACCCTCCAAAACATGGCACATTTATCATCATGAATTTTGCTTTTGAAGTAGTGTTCTATGTAGATTGCCTCTCAGGCTGGCACTCTGGTCTATGGACAGTTGTTTTTTAAAGGCTTATTTTGGGGCTGGCGGAGTGGCTTCTCTCAAGTGGTAAGAGTATGAGGCCCTGAGTTCAAACCTAGCACTGCCATAAATAAATAAATAACAGATAAATGCTTGCTTTCAACATCCATTTATAAATGTGTGTTGAAAAATAAATTAGAAGACTTTTGTGTTTCTGTTTTTGAGACAAGACCTCACTATGTCATCAGACTGGGTTTATAGGCATGCATCATCACACCTGGCTTAGGAGTATTGTTAAAAAACTATATACTGAATTTACTACTCTGTAAAGCATAGCCATTATTTAAATTCTTGAGATTTTTACAAGAGAAGGAAGGAAAGATCCAAGAATAGTGTATAGCCAATTGGAGCTGGAAGAATAGCTTGTGGAAGAAGAAAAGACCAGAATAAATTGCTTTATCATCACTTGCTTTAAAAACCTATTTTTTAGAGCAAATAATTTTCAGTGTTCATGCAAGACTTCATCAGCCCTTGGTACTCATAGTTCTCTTAGAGAAGGACTTTTAATAACTGTTTAAAAGCAGTTGATTTAGGATATTGATCTGCTTTCCACACCTGTGCATGACTTGAATCATAAAATCCATCTGTGTACATTTTCACTTTTACAACCTCTCCATTAGTTTGGAGCTCCTTCTCCAAGGCTCAGGGACTCCTTTGTAAAGCTTCCAAAACCAAGATTTTTTGTTGTTGTTCTTTCCGTCATCCTAGTCTCCTGTGAGAAGTATATTAATTTTATTTCATTTATTTTGATTTTTCATTGCCTTTCACATATTAAAATGTAGATGTTCCTTAAATATTTAAACGTGTTCTTATTTAGACCTTATACTAACTATTTTCTGTCATTTGATTTCTTTCTCTATTCATGTAGATTGATTATATAGCTACCTTAATTTCATCTACAGTAATATTATTTCACTTTGTTTCCTGGCACATCTAAATGTGCCTGTTCCTCTGTTTTTCTTTTGACATTGAAGGCAAGGACACTCAAGAGCAAACCAATAGTACTGAACCTGTGACTCTTAAGTAGCCTTTTCTCCTGTTTTTCCTTTTCACCCTGCCTCTCTGTGAATGCTGCCAACTGGGACAATGTCAGGGTCACTCAACGATGTCTGGCTCAACTCTAAGCCAGAGCAACTAAGAGCACCAACTTAGTGTTGGTGGCATGGGTTTGAGACCTGGTATCACTACTTATGCACTGATAATCTTAAGTAGATAAGCTGGCATCACTAAGCCTTAGAATGTGTTTGGAGAAACAGGGCAGATATAATTCAGTGTTTAAGACTTTGACTTCTGAAGATAGACAAACCTGAGGTTGAGCCATCATTCTGCCCTAGGTGGCTTTGTGGCCTTGGGGCATGTTTAATTTTTCAGTCTCTAAAGAGAACAGTACTGGTATCATAGGTTCAGCTTGAAAAAAATGTGAGTACTCCATAACATATGTTTAGCACAGTGCCTGGTACACTACAGACGTCCAGTAATGTTAGCTATTAAAATAATGTAAGTGACTGAGCAGAACCTGCACACACATGCATACATTGCTGGCAGTGGCTACTTGCCCTTTGCCTGTGGTGTCACCAGGAGCAAGCCAGACAGCTTTAACTCCTCTGGGCAGGGTTGTCTCTGAATGAAGAATGAGGGGGTTTCCTTAGATTCCCAGTTTCCATGCAAAGTCATAGGTACCTGAGATTCACATACACGAAAAGAATTTCAAGGTATTTCATAAACAAAAAGTAGGGAGGAATATAAAAAGAGAGGAAAAAGCACCTCCTGCTAAAAGTACAGGGTCGGGGGGACGCTCAAAAATAGGCACCCTTTTCTGTGTCCTGTATGCCCTGCTGCTGGGAAAACACATCCTCAAGTCAGAGTCTAGCAACCCCTAATCATTACATAACAGTCTGGGTGGCCAAGATAGTGCTAAAACATGGAGAAGTGATCTAGGCCTGTCCAAACCACAGGAACAAGAGGTGAGTTTTAGGACTTTCTTTTGTAAGACATGCCTTTTATTTTTCTCTCTACCCATTCATGAAGCCTTGCAAGTTCTTAACACCTCAAAGGGAAGGTAGATGCAGTAGACCCTCTATGAGTTCATATCCTTGTAATAGATCCAGAAGGAGGCAATGGGAAGAGAACTTTTTTTTTATTCATATATGCATACAATGCTTGGGTCATTTCTCCCACCTGCCCCAACCCCCTCCCTTACCACCCACTCTGCCCCCTCCCTTCCCCCCCCACCCCCTCAATACCAGCAGAAACTATTTTGCCCTTATTTCTAATTTTGTTGAAGAGAGAGCATAAGCAATAATAGGAAGGAACAAGGGTTTTTGCTGGTTGAGATAAGGATAGCTATACAGGGAGTTGACTCACATTAATTTCCTGTGCATGTGTGTTACCTTCTAGATTAATTCTTTTTGATCTAACCTTTTCTCTAGTTCCTGGCCCCCTTTTCTATTGGCCTCAGTTGCTTTTAAGGTATCTGCTTTAGTTTCTCTGCGTTAAGGGCAACAAATGCTAGCTAATTTTTTAGGTGTCTTACCTGTCCTCACCCCTCCCTTGTGTGCTCTCGCTTTTATCATGTGCTCAAAGTCCAATCCCATTGTTGTGTTTGCCCTTGATCTAATGTCCACATATGAGGGAGAA